CACCAAGTGCCGCAAGAGCAGTCGTCCCAACCTTAACTGTTCGGTCAGGACGTGAGTCGTCCAGGACGACGTCCACATGTTCACCAGCCGGCTAAGGGCGGAACTCGTCTGACCGCTCCTCGACCAGTGATTGCTATCGCTTTTCTTTTCTTTCGGCCCCCGGTTGGGCGACCCTTCTTTTCCTGCCGCCTTCTGCTTGGGCAGGCGCATCCTCCTTGATTAGTTCAAGGTCTGTTTTCTCTCCACTTGGGCCAGCAGTCCCCACAGTGGGTTTAATATCCGAGAGATAACACTCTCGTGCCATTTTCTGGTCTCCCCTTAGGGAGCCGACTGTTCCATCATCCTTCTCGAACTTGAGCAACATGAGAGATGGAATGATGACAGCTTTGGAATTGTTTTGGGTGGGTCGCTCTAAGATCATGTTATAGGCCGAGAGCTCTTCAACAACTAAGAACCGAACCACCATGTGACGACCCTCCCCTTTCTCACCCAAACGGATGGGTAGATCCACCCGTCCCACTGGGTGTACGACGCTTCCTCCAAACCCTACTAAAGGGTGAGATACCGGATGTATGCAGTCAGGTTTGTACTTGAGCTTTGCCAAGCACTTGTTGCTGATTAGATCATAGGAACTTCCGGTGTTTATGAGGATCCGGCCAACTCTCTGGTTAGCCACTTTGCATTCAATTACAATGGGGTCGTCATGCGGCCCCCTAACACCTCCCAAGTCTTCCTCTGTGATGACAATTTCTGGGAATGAACTCTTGGAGGTCCGTCCTTGGTTGACGGAGTTAACATCTAACCGCCTGATGTTGTCTTTGTTGCCCCTGATAGTGGGGCCGCCTCCTGCAAAGCCGCCTGCTATAGTATAGACGACGGCGTCGTCAGTGTCAGAGCTGTCAGCCAACCGGTGCTTCTTCTTGGCCGCCTGTTTCTGTTTGGGTGGAGCATTCCCCTTGGACTTCTTGACATAGGAGTCAAGATCGCCTTTTTCTGCCAGGTGATCTAGAAAGCACTTGAGGCTTATACACTCATTGGTTTCATGACCAATGTATTCATGGAAGTGGCAGAATTTACTTTGGTTCCGGTTGCTAACCGAACCTTTCATGGCGGCCGGCTTCTCAATTGAGATCCGACCCTTGATTTTATTGAGGATAGCGTGGCTATCGTTGTTGAACTCATACTTGGGAGAGTATGGTTTATATTCTTTCTTCTTTTTCTGGGACGGCTGTTCAGAGGAGTCGGCCGCCCGTATTTGTTTTCTCTTTTTCTCTTCTTTATTTGCAGACTGCTTTTGTCGGCTTTCTCTTTTGTTGGGCCTCTTGCCGTTCGATTGCTTCCCAGTATTACAGAGGTCGGTTACCTGAATATAGGCATCCGCCTCCATCATGGCCTCTTGGAGGGTGGTCACCCTCTTTCTGACAAGGTCAAATTTGAAGTTCAACCCGTCCTTAAGTCCTCTGAAAAAATCAGTATAGGCTACCTCATCTGGTAGCCCTTGTATCTGAATCCTCATCAGGTTAAACCGCCTGATGTAGGAACGGAGTCCCTCCTTCTCTCCCTGCTGTATAGTCCCTAAGTCAAGGGTCGTCTTCTTTGCAGGGATGTTCATCATAAAATTTGAAGTGAACAAGTAAGCGAGGGTCTTGAAATTATTTACGCAGCCGGTCGGCAGGTTGCCGAATGATTGTTGGGCAAGGCCTTCAATGTGGCCGGGAAACATTTACACCATGTGGGATCATCCAACCCTTGAAGGTACATTAAGTTGGTAAACGCCATTAGATGATCTTCTGGGTTTGTAGTACCATCATAGGCTCCTACCAACACATTCTTCACTTTGGCCGGCTGGGCGGCCTCAATTATTTCCTTGGAGAAGGCGGATGGCTGTTCTCCAAGTCTAATCAACCTAAGTTGCCAATCCAAAGGCTGGACGTTTCTTGCCGCCTGTCCTCCAAACAGAGTAGGCTACATGAAATATTGAGGTTGCGGCACGTATGGCTGGGGTGGCACATGTGGGGCCGCCTGGTTTTTCTTGGAGCTGGACCGATGAGAGGTACCACTTATATTGCTCTCATAATTTGAGTTCGAATACCTCAAGAAGTTATTGTGTAAACTGTCTTGAAAGTCAGACGTAGAGGCCGACTCTGACAGTCGATCACTCTTCTTCTGCTCTAGCAACATTCGAGCATCAGAGTATGTTCTCTTTGACCCATCCGGTTGGATATGACGGATGGGCTTCCTCTTTCCTGGTGAAGGAAAGCGATACTTCGTTAGGTCGATCACCGGCGGCTGCCTTGCCCCAGGCTTTGGGTAAGGGGTCGCCTCACGATCTTTTACAGGCTTCTTCCTCCCAGATTGGGAGGGTCTTCTGGCCGACTGCTCCTTGGGTGGAGCAGGCGTCTTCTTATTGATAAGATCCCGGATCTCCCCTTTGAAGCTATTCATGAAAGTCATGAGTTCACTTCTAGTGATGGGGGCAGATTCCTCGGCCGCCTGTTGATGATCAAGCGGCTGGCCGACTAGTTTACTAGATCCAGCCAGGAAGTCCTCCCGTTCCCTCCTTTCGGTGGGACGGGTGCGTCAAGCTCTGAGGGTCCCGTCAAGGGCCGTGCGAGTCTCGACCTCGGTATCATTATCCGTATCCTAGTCACTGTAGACCCGAGGGTCGTCCATGGGACGCTTGTCACTTAGAATCGGTACAGACTGTAATTCCATCTCGTAAGTACTCTCCCCACAGACGGCGCCAAAATGTTTCGGGGTTTTCTGATGTTCTACGGGAGAGTTACAATTCCGGGACTGGAATCCGTGCGCCTGTACCTGCAAAACAACGGAGACTCCGGGTGGTGGGAGCTCCGCCTCCGACGATCAAGTTAGTACTTGTTTGAGGAGTAAAGGGTGCAGAAAGTAAAGGTGGGAGATCTGGTTCCTCTAGGGGAGGAGTGATCAATGTGTTTAGGTTTCTGTAGGTGAGAGTAATTATTGCTGAATCAGTCTTAAATGAAGGTTTAATTACTGTATTTATAGCCTCGGGATGCGTGCCTAATTCTAGGGTTTTTGGTAAACCCTAGATCTGACCGGGCTTTTCTCGGGAAGTGGGCCTAGGTGGCCTCCTTCCAAGTTGGCAATCAGTAGGCTACATGGCGTGGTATGACTGGTCCATGGTGGACAAATGGCCGTGTGCCACGTGGCAAGCTCTGAGAGGTCCAAATGGAGGACACTTGGCATGACATGATTGGTCCACGTGGCGTACACTGATTGAGCCGGGAAAATCCCCTAATCAATAGGTCATTGAGTTTTGTTGGCCGGTAGGGATTGAAGAAAATCTACAGCCCCAAAGTTCGGATTATTCCAGAATAATCTAAAGTTGAGATTATTGAAACAAAATACGTGAAAGTTGGGATTATTATATCTAATTTTACCTTAATTATATTACAAGGTTACAATTTGTAGCTTCTAAATTGATGGCGCATAACTTGAAAAACACAATACTAAAAGGACACTACGTAAAATTCAAGAAAAGAAAGGAGACGTATAATAGTTGTAAATTTATAAGGACAATTTAGGAAACCAAACGCCTAAAAATGTAATATATATATATATATATATATATATATATATATATATATATATATATATATATATATATATATATATATATATATATATAGTAGGCATTTTTCGAGAGCATTCGGAGAGCCACGTAAGAAATATAATTATTTCGACCAATAAGAAAAAACATATGTATTTTATTTTTGAAATAAAAAATTATATCGCCATCTAGATAAAAATAACGAATTAGATTTGATATATCTAAAATTTTAATGCCATGTAGATTACAATCCACGAATTAAATTATTTTAATGGAAAAAAATAAAGTAAAAATATAGGAAAAGATAAATTCATTAAATCAATACTACGAGTATAAGAGATACAAAAAAATATAGGAAAAGATAAATCTCCAAAAAGATATTTAATCGGGTTCAAATTATGAAAATATCCTATTATTTAAAAATTATCTCCACGTAACTGTACTTGGTGGAGAAATATGGTGGGTTCAAATATTAATTTTTTTTTTTATAAAATTTATGATATTTTAATGAAAAAATAAAGTAAAAATATAGGAAAAGATAAATTCATTAAATCAATACTACGAGTATAAGAAATACAAAAAAATATACTAAAAAATATTTAAATGATAAACGCTTATAATAAAGTTTGATACCTATCATTATAAGATAAATTTTGATAGTATTTATGATAAGAAATACAAATTGTTCGTTAATTATAATTAAATTAAAATTTGTGATACCTACCATTATAAATTGACATATTATACGACACAAACAAAATTTCGTATCAATAAAAAACCCTGTCAAGCGAATTTTGTGTTAATTTTTGGTCATCGATACTTAACGATTATTTGTTTATGTAATGACATACGATTAGATGTTGTATACTTAATAAATGGATGACATTGGTTATTTTTGGAGATGATGAAAAAATTCCAATGCATATATTTGATTTTATATCGCAACAATTTTTTATTCATTGGTAAATATATTGATTTATTTTATATAAATGTAAAGATTTAATTTATATCAATTTCAGTTTGGCTAACATTTCACGGTTCAATTTATCCATTGATGTAGTATGTTGGTTGGGACGAGGTTGATGATTCTATCGAAATAAAAGATATGGTCAAACAATAAATAATGATTTAGGATTTAAATTATTAAAAATTTATCATTTCACATTAAAGATTTTATATAACGGAAAATATATCATATTTACAATTTATTTATATTTAATAAATTCATTATAAATTATAGTAAAAAAAAAAAAATTTTAAACTTTGGTAATTTTGTTTGAAATTATTAAATACAATAAATCAAATAATTAAAAATCTTAGATGAAAAAACCACACATCGCACACATCTAGCAAATAATGTTCCTAATCCAATTTTATACTTTTTTAAGCTACAAATAAAATAACAAAATCATCACAAATCACCATTATCATCCTCGACAATAATCCTAATCCCATTGTCTCGAAGCGTATTAATAATACCCCAAACAATCTTAGCATTAGCAGCAGCATCTTCTACCCCTTTCTTCTGAACTTGTTTATAAACATTAGCATGGATCCCATCATCCAAACCTTGATGATTGCGATGAAGGGCTTCTAATTTGATCCGCCGCGATAAAACTTCTCCGACAACAGTGGCAGCGTGAGGATTCTTAGTGGTGCGGCCAAGCTCAAAGGCTCGTTTGATAGCGTGCTCTATCGATGACACTTGAGCTACTAAACTTCCGTCACTTTTATCCAAAACATTAGCTGTTATGTACTTGAGTGATATATGTAATCGCAACTCGTACGCCGCCTTTCGAACCATTGTCATGGTTTGTGGGATGGTAGTAGAGATGGAGTTGTGGATCTATAGAAAATGGTGGGCTTTTGGGGGTTTTGATTTTGTGTGGGTTTTGTAGCCCATATATATAAACATGTTAGATGTTGACCCGAAAATATATTAATTCAGGCCGGATATTATATGCATCGAGTTTGAATCCTCCCTCCATCTCATAATACTTGACACAATTATCATTTTTGCACGTCCAAAATACTTGACACGTTACTAAATATGGAATGAGACGACTAATAAAAAAATATTTTCCTACACTTTCTTTGAGACCACAAACCCCAAAACTCAATTAAATCCTATATTTTCTCTCCTCACTACCCCCACCTCCCCCTACCTTTTGTTTTCTTACAAAAAAAAAAAAAAACAAAAGTGAATCCTTTATATAATAAATAAATGTTTTAATTGGAGTCACTCGTAATTTTCTTAAACTACGTGTCCACCCCAACGTCCCAAGTATTACGAGACAAAGGAAATATTAGATTACCCCCTCTGTGTTTGTTTAAATGTCGTAATATAGTTCCTATTGTGTTTTTTTTCACGGTATTTAAGAAATGGGAGGAGAAGTGGAAAAAGTAATTAAAAGTGGAAAAAAGCTAGACAAAAGTACAAGACAAGTGGATAATTTAAGGGGAAAAAAGTAAAAAGTACAATTATAGACAAAAGTTAGAGAGAGAAAGTGGAAAAAAGTACAATGCAAGTGGATAATTTAAGGGTAAATTAGAAAGTTCAATGAAAAAAGTTAAAAAAATGAGGGTATAATGGTCTTTACATACTATTCAAAAATAGAAACAAGAATAACGTTTTGGGTCTCCAAAATAGGAAAACAGGGACTATAATGTGGGATGGAGGGAGTAGTTTTTTGCCAAAAATGAAAGTGTAACACTTATTAAAATACGGACGGATTTAGTAAGTGTATCACTTATTAAAACAAGGAGGGAGTATATCTCTATCCTCTTTGGTCCCCACCCAAACACACCATTATTTTCTATTATTTATTTCCTCTCATATTCATTACTTTCCAATAAAATATTAACCCTTCCGTTAGGAAAAAAAAAAAAAACACTAACCTCACTATCTTTCTTTTATGAATTTTTAATACTCCAACTAACTCATTAGCCTCTTATCTTATTTAAATCGATTAAATTGCCTAAAATTATGTTCCGGTCGAAGTATAGCAATTTTAAAAAACACGAAGGGAGTATGTTTAATTTAACTTGGAAATTCTTGATGTAAACAAAGAAAGGAACAACAAAGTGAGAAAGTCCCACATTCAGGCTCCGTTTGTTTTACAACAAACAACTTTAAAAACACCTTTTTATGAAAATGATTCTCCATGAAAATTAATTTCTCAGGAAAAATACAAATAAAATTGGCTTAAATAATCCTAAATATTAGCGGTGTATGCAAAATAATATTAACCGTTTCCTTAAATAATGTTGGAAAAACCTCTAATTCTCTAAAGACAACTTCTTTTTCATATATTCTACTTTTACTGTCCATGTAAGCAAGTAAGAAAAAATTGATTTTTTTTACCGGTTTAGTTGGAAAACTGCTACTTAAATTAGCGATTTCGATGATTGAAAACCGCTACTTGAAATATCGGTTTCTATGATATAAATCCGCCACTTTAAGTAGTGGCTTCTATAATAAGAAATATGTGGCGATGGTGAGGTGGCTTAAGGTGAGGGTGAGGGTGTAAATGTGGGTGTGAGTGAAAATGTGGGTGTAGGCGCGGCCCGTGCGGGTGTAGGAACACTACTGATTGCACTTCTTGGGCAAAGGCTCCTAAGAAAATAGCTAGTAAATCAATGAATATAATGGTCTTCATTGTTTTCGTAGGGTTTTTGTTTTGTTTACTCAATTATAAAACAAAAGGGTTTGAAGATTGATTTGTGCGTGTAATTTTTTAGCTTGAGGTAAACGAGTTGTTGTTTTAAATGAGAAGTCTAATACAAATAATATAAATTAAACAAGTAAGATTGAAAATATTATGTTACAACCAATGGAACAAGATTAGTGTGTATGTCTTGATGCAATTCACTGATTTGAAAACAAAATTTCGGCGCAACCGGGGTGCTTAATTGTATTTGCTGGCACATTCCGCATACCACTTCCACACAAAGCCACTTTTGGGTGGAAGGTTGGATCCAGGTAACTTATGCCTAAAGAGAGAGTTAAGGTCTGATACAATCCCTAAACTAACGTATTTGTAACATTTTAGTCCCTCAACTATTGAGTGAGGCAAATTGGTCCCTCAACCACTAAGGAGTACTATTTCATGCCAAAGAATTTAGGGACCTTGCCTTGTCATCAATAGTTTAGGGACCATTTAAAATTATATGGCAAATTTTAATTATTATTTTATTACAATAGTTTAGGGACTTGTTAAATTAATTGATAAGAGTGAATAGTTTAAGGACTATTAGGATGACATGGAAATAGCAATCATAAAAAAAAATAGTTTAGGGACCTTATAATTTAATCGTACTCGATCTAGAAGACTTTGGAAAGAGGGATTCTTCCAAAAAAAAAAAAAAAAAAAAAAGAGGAAGAAGAAGAAGACTATTAAAAGTGACTTTTCATCTTCAAACTCAAAGAAAAAAATAAACACGAGATGCATTGTTATGTTTGGGTGGGAATTTGGACAATCATCGGATTCTATTTTTATCTTTTTTCAGTTTATGCACTTTTTTATTAATGAATAATGAGTTAGGGTTTGAAAATTTTAGAGTTTTGATGTAAAATTAAATTTTTGTTATTGATCATCTAAATTTTTTTTAGAGTTTTAATCTGAAATTTTTTCAGTTATTATTCAATCGCGACAAATTTTTTTAGCATATGAAATTTTTGGTTGATCAATAACAATCTGGAGAACATACAATAATATATAGCCAAATTTCAATTTGTAACATCAATTTTTTTTTTTTTTTTTTTATTGAAAGAATGAATTTTTGGATAATTTGTTGTACAAATATGTTTATACATTAAATGCAAAGTCCCTAAACTATCAACTGTTTTAGTTTGTCAGCATTTTTTTCATGTAATCATAAGCATTTTTTAGGGAAGTCCCTAAACTATTGATAACTAAGCAGATAAAGTCCCTAAACTATTGTTAAGTATGTATTTCAGGTTTCTAAACTGTTGATGACTAGGCAAGGTCCCTAAACTATTTGGCCGGAAATAGTACTCCTTGGTGGCTAAGAGCTAAATTGCCTCATCCAACAATTGAGGGACTAAAATGCTACAAACACGTTAGTATAGGGATCATATTTTAGCTTTGTATTTTGATGTATATAAAGTGTATATGGAATCAGGAAATAATCCATCTATTTATAGTGAAGGATGGAAGAACATAAAAGACTCTTAAAAATTAATTAGGGTGAATAAATCAAAATAAAGATGAAAATTTAATCACATGAATTATTCTCTTAAATGTGGTTTACAAGGAATTAATCAAGAAATCAAGAGAAAGAATCCAAGAAAAGAACAATTGAACTTGGATAGCCTCGTACCCGATCAGGCGAGTTTCGACCGATCGGGTGGGAATCCTAATGTAGACACCTGATTGTGTCTCCCCAAAACCAAACCCAGTGATGAGTGCCTTTCACATTCTGATTTACATGTTTGGTGAAGAGTTGAAGAGTCTTAATTGTGAAATTCCCTTATGACCATATTTCTAAACTTTCCTAAATTGTTTTAATCCAAAATCATTTTTCGTGACTTTAAACCACAAATCATTCATTTCGTGTCCTCAAATCATTTATTTTGTGTCTAATTCATAAAAACGTCCCAACCTGATTATCATGGTCCATAATCCTGGTCCGATTATTGCTTAGATGGATGGGGTTTGAAAAGAGCTTTCCAACGATATATTATAAGACCAAATCTGACTTAAAACGAATAAGTTATGGCCAAAATAGTAAAGCGAGCCCAAACCGAACCTAAGTCCACCTGGCCTACGACCCAATGATCATATGTGGGACCAAATATCTTATTCCTAATCCTATATCAATTAGGACTCTTTTAGAATTTTCTAGAAGGTTCTAATTTATCCTTTCCGAAAATATAAAGATCAAAGAGTTTAAGATTGAATAAAACTTCTCTTTTTGATAATCCTTGTTCTATTCAAATTAAAAGACATTCGGATATATTTTGCGTAGAAAACCCATCAAAAACCAAACATTGAATAAAATATATTATCCTTTAAAACCAACGCAATACGACAGCCCCAACGCAGCGCGTCAGCACCCAACGCGGCGCGTTAGCATCAGCGCGGTGCATCAGCACCAGCGCGGCGCGTTAGTACCCAGCGCAATGCGTCAAAAGCAGTTTTATTCCATTCCAAATTCTTATCTTTTCTGATCGTTTCGACTCTCTTTTTTCCTTATAAATAGTGGTCGTTTTCCCCGTTTTCAGATCAGCTAGAACCATCAATCATAAGCTATAATCACCTAACTGTAATCATTAACAACCATCAGAATTCCTAAAGTTCTTAAACACCCATATTCTTAGCCTTAGCCTAAACACATCCTTGATATTCTCTAAAATCAGTCACAATATCTCATTCACGAGATTCGAATACTCTAAGCCATTTTTGACGTTGCCTTCGACCTCAACGTGAAAGGTTGATAGTTCTGAGGGTTTGGTCCTAAATCTATATTTCAATTCATATTTGATTTCTCTACTTTATTGATTTAACGTTCTTGAAGTTTAGTAACGTATGTGTTGTTTTAATAGCAAGAAGGTTGAGGCATCAAAGTGAGTAATTCAATTACTTAATTACTCTTTTGATTTTGGAGTAGAAATCATGTTTACGACGTTATTTTAATTCCTAGTATCATGTTTAGGATATTATTAGGATTCCTAATATCATGTTTAGGATGTTATTTTGATTTCTAGCATCATGTTTAGGATAATGCTTTGATTTGATTATTAGTGACATGCTAGGATTTGTTATTAATCCGTTTAGTATCATGCCT